AATTCACAGAGAAGTTCAATGCAATATCAATCAAAATTCTTGTTTTTGAGGAACTTTGATAAAACTTTTTATATAGAATAAAGCCCTACAAATGACTAAATCAACTTTGAAAAGTAAGTGCAAAGAAGCTATCAAGACATTCTATAAAGCCATAATGATAAAAACAGTAAGGTGCTTCCACAAGAATGTGCAAACAGACCAATGCAACAAATTACATCACTCAAGACAGATCCATGTACGTGAGGGAACCTGAAATCAGATAAGGTACCACAGATCAATAAAGAATGGACCGTTTAAGAGGTGGTACTGGAAAAACCGCCTACTATATGGAAGAAAATAAAACCAGAGCCTACCTTATGCCATATTCAAAAGTGGAGTCTAGACGGATTAAAAATCTAAATGCAAAAGGTAAAACTATAGATTAAAAGATAAGGCAAAAAAGGTAATGTTAGCTCATCAAAATTAGTAACAGACATCTACTCTTAAGGGAAAGTAAAATGCAGTGGACATGCCCCATGATGCTCTTGCCAGCAATTAGAAACAAAGCAGTAACATACACATGGCAATACAGACAGATGTTAAAAATACAGCACTATTAGCCAGTTGTGGTGGCTCACGCCTGTAATCCCAGCATTTTGGGAGGCCAAGGCAGGAGGACTGCCTGAGCCCTGGAGTTTCAGACCAGTCTGGGCAACACAGAGAGACCCTGTCTCAAAAACAAAAAAATTTCCACACTGAGTAAAATACAAAGTTCAGGAAACAGAAAGAAGACTGTGGCACTATGCCATGTGTGCCAACTGAAAACACACTCAAAACAATACTTTTTATTTTCATTTTCTATGAAAATGTATCCATTATGATATATTTTCTATGGCATGTATCATAGAAGGATACATATCAAACACGACAGAGTAGCTATTCACAGGGGTGGGAATTGGGAATAAAAGTGAAAAAATAAACATGGCAGGAAGAAGCCTTGTGCTGACCTATGACAGAAACCTACCTTGAACTGGACAGTATGATGAACTCAAACCTCTGCACTTGAGGGCTTTTAGAAGTCAAGGGTTTTATTTGGTAATAAAGTTTGAACAAAATATGTATGTCAGCTAATCAAACTCAGAAATGGCCACAGGGCACTTCTAGTGAGTACCATCCAAAAGCAAATGTCCTTCAAAAAACATTTCTTTTTTTTTTTCTACATGCACTTAGGGCATATTCAAAAAACATTTCTAATGAAAGTGAAGACTGAATAACACTAGGTGATGACCTTATCTCAAATTTGGGCTAACTTTTCAGAAAACAAAATATTACAATTGTACGTTTTTAAAAGGGGTGGTGGTAGAGGAAACCCTTTGTAAGACATTTCAAAAATTATTTTCTCTCTTTTTATAAAGCTATTAACTCTTCTGGAAGAGTTAGGTCTGCTTTTCTAGGCAATCTTCAAGTATCATGGCTGGGTCACCTGCCTCGGAATCACCTGGCTGGCGAGGGATCACTGAATTTTACTCAGGATTTCTGAATTTTACCCAGTGTTTCAGCTATTCCTTGTTCATAGCAGAGTTAAAGAAATAACTGAGAGTATCCATTCCAACTAAGTATCAAGCCAACTGTAGCCCACACAGTCCCTGGAGTCTCCCACTACCTGACCTGGCTTGTTCCCTAGTGGTCCTGAGCAAATTCTGACTCTGATGGCGCCATTCCCACCCATCCCTCATACCCCAAGCTATAGCCCCAACCTATAGGGTTGCTCTGCTGCTGCTGCTCCTCCTCCTCCTCCTCCAGTGGCTGCCATCACCTCGCTAAACGGTACCACACAAACATATCAAGGTCGTCCAAGCTGGAAATCTGGATGTCAGTTTTGATTCCTCCCTTTCTCTTGATCCTTTCCCACCCTCACATCCAACCATGGTACCCACCAAGGTGTTCTTAACCACCTGTAAACTGCATGGCCTCCCTGTGACACCCTGAGTATTGAGAAGGATGCATCTCATGTCTCATTCATCACTGCATTCTCAGAGCCTAGCACAAGTCCTGGCTCACAACAGGTGCCAAATACCTGTCTGCTGAAAAGAAACCCATCTGCTATGCTGTTTCCTCTACCCAGAAGCCCCATCCTAGCACCTTCTTGGATCGATTCTCACATAGAGGCAAGCCTAGGCTGTTTGGAAGGCTGGGAACAGATAACTCACCGTCTTTCATACTCCATGTCCTGATAGGACCTTCGGGGGCTGCTGGGGCCCCTCCTCAGCCGCTGGCTCCGTTTCACTTCCCAGCCACCCCCACTGCTGCTACCATGATCTGCCAGCCTGGGTGATTCTTCCTGCAGGGACTCTGGGAAGAGTGAAGGGAAGAAAGGGGTCAAAGCAGTTGGGGCAGAGAGGGTCTCCTTGACAAAGATTGTTGTCAAGGCTCTCCGCCTTGTCTTCCAGATCCCAGCACTCCTGTGCATCATAATGTGAAGGTACCACATACTTGGCCTGCTCCTTCCTTTCCTCACAAACACGAGGCTAGAGCCCACTGCCCTAGAAAACAGCAAGGCCTTCAGCAGACAGAGGGCATCTTGGAGAAAGACCTGGCGATGCCACACACATTGTGATCAGGGCTTTGCCACCTGAGACAGGTAGACAAATTCAAGCCTGGGGATGCATCCCAGGGTGGGGGTAGGGGACTCTCAGTGCTGAAAGTCTTGCTGACATTCAGCACATCAGGCAAGATCTGATAACAATGGGGATCCCACGCACGCACCAGGCTCCTTCCCTGGGCCCCAAGGTACCATCCCATCCTCCCAAGAAGCTGCTGGCTGCCCCCTTTAAGGAAGCAAAAGGCCATGAAAGGCTCTTGGGGGTATGTGTGAAGGGGGTAACTTGGCAACGAGACAGCTGCCACCTCCCTGGGCTCCTGGCCAACACAGCCTTGGCCCTCACACAGCAAATGGCTCAGCCCTGAGCCCTGTCTCTTATGTGCAGCAAGGTCCCAAAGTGATTGTCTCCCCAGGGCTCAAGCCTATTTTCCACAGGCAAAAGGGGCCCTTTTGGAGGCTGTTCTGAACCACTGTTCTCTACTGGGATGGAGCAGCAAACACTTCATCCAACCCTCAGGGCTATAGTGAGAACTTAGGGAGTCCTGAGAACCGTGTGACCCAGCCAGAGGTCAGGATGAATCCCAGATCTTCGGGCCCCACCCTATGAATAGGGATCAGGTAAAGCTAGGCAATAATAGCACCTGCCTAACTCTAGGTTGCTGCCACACCTTTGCTCTATGCGTGCACATACACACACTCCAGTTTTCTCTTCCTCCTCAAGCCACAGGGAACCCGAGTTACCTGCTCCCAGGTGAGCAAGAGTTAGAATCACACCAGAGGCACTGGCGGTTGAGAGCCAGATCCAAAAACCCTCAAGAGACTCTGGCAAAGGGGCCAGAGTCACACAGTAACATCTACCACAGCCAAGGGCCAGTCACAGACACGAGCCTCAAATAACTACGGGCCCACATCACAGAAGGAACCCACAGTAAGGGCCACAGTTACACACACACTGGGTCCCCTTTCCACAGATAAGCATCAGTGTCACAGATAGGAACTCCCCAAAAGAAGCGGCAACGAGTCACACACACATTCCCTGAATCCCCCTCTCCACCCAATAAGAGGGTTTGGGCCAGTCACAAGACAGTCGTCCCCCCAGCCCCGCCCCACAGATAAGGACCAGAGTCACAGACACACACCCCCCACCAAGGGTAAAGACCAGAGTCACATCCTCCCTCCAATCCTCCAGGAAAAGAGACCAGAACCACAGAACATTTCCCCATGGACCAATACACACCAGATTTAACACAGAGCAGCATCCCTCGCCCATGCACAAACTCAAAGTCGCAGACAACCGCTTACCCACGAAAAAACTTCGGTGTAGCGGACACAGTGATCCACGGCAGCCCACTCCCATCCGTCCCTCCCTTCCCCCAACCCGCGTGCACCCAGCCAGTGTCCCAGTCGCGCACGCGCCTTTGCTCACACCAAAAAAAAAAAAAAAAAAAAAAAACACCACCCCCTCCCGGGTTAAGACATTGCACGCACCCCTCCGTTCCACGCATCCCCCCGGCCCGAAGTCCGCCCTCGCGCCTCCTCTACGTCCCCGCCCCGGGCCCCTTACCTCCGCCCCCACGACCAGCGTCGACGCTCACCTTCTCGGCCCGGGCTGTCAAGGGAGGGCTCCCAGACATCACCTCCGCCCGCCGCCACCTCCTCCAACTCTCCCAGCTCAGCCGGAGCCGGAGCGCGCAACAACCAAGTCCGAGGCTGCGGGCAGATCGCGGGGAGGGGAGAAGCGCCAAGCGCGCTGCCCTCCCAAGGAAACTCACTGCCGCCTACTGCCAGCCGGCCACAGTCATCAGCTCAAAATGGCGACGACAAGAAGGGAGTCGGCGCTCCGACCACCATCCACCTACTAAGGAAGCGCGCTCTGGCCAGCCCCGGCGATTGGCCGCTGCCCGCCAGGGGCCAGCCCTAGCCTCCTCTGATTGGTAAGCGCTTGCCACCTCCTCACACCCTGTGCGAACGCTCCCTAGTCGAGAAAAGGAGTAGCTATTGGCCAATCTGGCAGGGCCCGCTTTTTAGAAGCCTGACTTCCTTTGAAGATGAAAGACTAGCGGAAGCTCCACCTCTTTCCCCAAAGGGCGAGGGAACTCTCTGGGCGATTGGTTGAGAAATGTACCAACCCGAATGTCACCGATTTCTTCCTATCCAGGAAATTAGCAGCCCCATCGATAAGAAATCAATAAGAAATTTCTCAGCCTGGCCGAAAGAGTGAGAGAATGGTTGGCACCACAAAGCCATGACAACTGGAGGCAAAGAGGATTGCTCTACGCCCTGCCTCATTAGAAAACAAAATCAGATCTGGGACCTATTAAGCGGGCGGGGACGGAGCGATAATTGTCGCGCTCGCACCCACTGCAGTTGCGCACAGTCGCATTTCCGTCTCCGCCCCTGAGCCCCTGCAGCACCGTCTGTCATGGCGGCTGGGCTGTTAGGTTTGACCGCTCGCCGTCTTTGGGCGGCAGCGGCGACGCGAGGGCTCCCGGCCGCCCGCGTCCGCTGGGAATCCACCTTCTCCAGGACTGTGGCCGCCCCACCCGTTGCGGCGGGAAAGCGGCCCCCGGAACCGACCGTGGAATGGCAAGAGGACCCAGAAACCGAGGACGAAAACTTTTATGAGACGGTGAGAGGGAGGGGAAAACGGAACGCCGAAGGGGTCAATCCGGGAGCGACAGTTGGGGTGCTGTAGAGGACGTTCTTAGTCAGTAGAGGACTGCGTGGTCGGCGAAAGAAGACGTGGGAATTTTGCCTACTTTGTGGTCCTCCTTTGTCTCTGGGTATCGAACGAAGGTTCCAGGGCCAGAGACAGGATTGGTTTTATTTTGCAGACAGAAACCACACCTCATGTGGACAGCAGTCAAAACACATTAGAAGCAATATAATACAACAACAATTATACTAAACACTGATATGGCAGTTGCTCGTTGCCGTCTGCGTTCCTTTTTTTTTTTCCTTAGAGACGAGATCTCGCGATGTTGCTCAGGCTTGTCTTGAACTCCTGGGCTCAAGCGATCCTCCCGCCTTGGCCTCCCAAGGTGCTGGGGTTACAGGTGTGAGCCACTGCTCCGGCCCCTGTCTGTGTTCTAAACACTCTACGTGGATTAACTCATCTTATCCTCAAAACAACCCCGTTTCAAGGTAGGCACTATTATTATACTCATCCTACAGACGAGGAAACTGAAACACAGCGATGTTAAGTGGATTACCCAAGCTCACATAACTGAATACATGGTGGAAGTGGAACTGTTATTTGAATTTAGGACTACCAGATCTGTTGTGCTGTATTAATAGCAGATGTTTTGAAATCAGGCAGCACTGACGGTTACCCACCCATGTGATCTTGGGAAAGTAGCATAACCCGTTGGTGCCTCACATTCTTTGTCTGTAAGATGGGAACAGTAATAAGACACCTTCGAAAAAATAAGACACCCCACCTGCCTCATGTAATTAAATGAGTAAAAATGGTCAGAACAGCAGTTGGCACTTCATGAGTATGTACTCAGCACTAGAACGTGTTTGTTATTACCATGTTTCACCTCACTGCGATATTGTGAGGTTTGTCTATATGAGAAGACTGGCACATAATAAGTACTTCATCAATACTAACCTCTGGTTAAGGGGCTTGGATATATAGGATGCATGTTCATTCTGCAAATATGTATTGAGGGCCTGCTGTATGCCAGGCTCAGTTCAGGGCACTGGGGGATACAGCAGCGTGGAAATCAGACAAAGCACATGCTCTCATAGAGCTTACATGATAGTGGGGAAGACAGAAAATAAACACATAAAATATTAGAAAACAATACAGAATAGTATAATAGATAATATAATGTGATACAGAGAATGGGGAAGGTGTGGTGTGCTACTTTGGTAAACACAGGCTAAAAAGAGACACAGAAGGAAGAGAGGATGTGAAGACAAAGTTAAGCAGGATAAGTGGATAGAGAGTGACTTGGGTGTAGCGGGCTGTTTCATTAGGTTGAGTCATAAGAAATTGCCCATATTCAACCATTCGTGACCTATAAAAATAGCAGTTTCTTATGCTTCAACTTTGATAGACAAGGTAACTAGGGAGTGCCTCCTGCAGGAAGTGGTGATGAATCTAAAACTTTGAATGAGGAGACAGATCGAGCCATGACTAGAGCTGGAAGAAAGGCTTTCCAGGCAGAGAGAGCAGCAAGTGCAGCGGTCCTGCGGTGGGAAAGAGTTTGACATGTCCTAAGAATGGAAACAGGAATTTAGTGAGAGAGGGGTGCATGGAGACCCAAGTTATACAGGGCCAGAATAAGGCTTGTGGGGCAGCAGGAAGCCCTTATTAACCTCTCCTTTTCCACAGAACCCAGACTCCCATGGTTATGACAAGGACCCCGTTTTAGACCTCTGGAACATGCGAATTGTCTTCTTCTTTGGTGTCTCCATCGTCCTGGTCCTTGGCAGCACCTTTGTTGCCTATCTGCCTGACCAGAGGTGCATGGGGTGTCCAAGAGTGTGGGATGGGTAGGGGGCAGAGGCAGGGGTAGTGGAGGTTGAAGGGGACTCTGCCAGGAGTCTTGTTCCTGCACCATTGGGAATGGGGAGCTAGGATGGGGGATTGGTGTCTAGTGAGGCTCCCTCAAGTCTGCCCCTGCTATTGCCACCACCAGGATGGAGCAATGGTCCCGCCGCGAAGCTGAGAGGCTTGTGAAATACCGAGAGGCCAATGGCCTTCCCATCTTGGAATCCAACTGCTTTGACCCCAGCAAGATCCAGCTACCAGAGGATGACTAACCAGTTGCTCAGTGGGGCTCAAGAGGCACCGTCTTCCCCACCCCCTGCCTGCCATTCTGACCTCTTCTCAGAGTATCTAAAGGGGCTGATTCAAAGGCCTTGAACCTGAAATTTAAAAAAAAGGAAAAATAAATAAAGAGGCTGAAAGTCTGACTTGCTGGTGTTGATTGTATTGTGAGGGGGACATGGGGTGGTGGTGTTGGAAGCTTTAAAAGGGCTGCTGCAGCCTTTCCTGGGTGTTCTGGTTATGTATTGCTGTGTAGCAAACACCTTAAAATGTAGTGGCTTAAAACCACAATTCAGTCTTCTCTTTCATGGCCCTGTGGGTTGGCTGCAGTAAGGTGGCCCTTTGTGGTCTCAGGTAGTTGCAGCTAGATGGTGGCTGGGGCTGGAGTCATCTGAAGGCTCAACTGGGCTGGGTGTCTAAGATGGCTTCTTCACTCACATGTCTGGCACTTCAGTCCTCTTCCATGTGGCCTCTCTCCAGCAGAATAGCCTAGTTTTTGTTTTCTTTGTTTTTTTTGTTTTGAGATGGAGTGTTCTTGTCACCCAGCCTGGAGTGCAGTGGTGCAATCTCGGCTCACTGCAACCTTCACCTCCCAGGTTGAAGCAGTTCTCCTGCCTCAGCTCCCGAGTAGCTAGGATTCCAGGCGCCTGCCCCCACGCCCAGCTAATTTTTGTATTTTTGGTAGAGACAAGGTTTTACCATGTTAGCCAGGCTAGTCTTGAACTCCTGACCTTAGGTGGTCCGCCTGCCTCAGACTCCCAAAGTGCTGGGATTATAGGCATGAGCCACCATGCCCGGCCTAAACTTAGCCTCTTACATGATGGCTCGGGGCTCCTCTGGATGGGAGTGTGGCACATGGGAAGAAATTGTTGGCAGCTATCTTTAAAGCCAGACCACCTCACTGGGACCTACTATGTTTGAAGAGAGGCCGAGGCGACCAGGGTTTAAGGTGGAGGGTGAGTGTTTTGTCTCCCCTCCCTGTCCCCTCTGCTTCTCTCTGGGCTTTGGGGTTTGCCCCTGTCCTGTGTGTTGGTGAGTCTGGATGCCTATATTCCCTTCTGCCCCAAATCTGGATGATCTCTAACTCAAAATATGCATCGGTGTATGTGTGTGTGCACGTGTGTCTGTTTGTCCCCTCACCCACCTTTCCTCACTTTGTCTTTCTGTGTCTTGAAATCAAGAGGTCTTTTCTCCTTTACTTTCTTCCTCTGTGGGAATAGGCTGTCTCCTTGCACTAGGGTTGCTCTCTGTCAGTCTGGCAGATGGAGTAGGGGACTTGTTCTGGCCTTGGCTGAGTTTGTTTCTTTCAAAGGCATCTCTGTTAAGTGTGAGCTTCCCTTTACTCTCCTGGCATTTCTGCCTTCCCCCTCGTGGCCCTCCTTCCACAGCTCCCACATTCAAATCCCTACCTCATAGATTCATTGCTACCATCTCCGTGCTTGTCCCTACCTGGGGCTTCAGAGGGTGTAGGAGCCTCCAGCTACTGGCTACAGGAAGAAAATCTGGCTTGCCAAACTCACAACCAGAGGCGATGCCCTACTTCTAGCTACTGAGTCTCAGGAGAGCCCATATCCACTTACATGTGGCTGAGCTGGGAGCCATATCTGCATGAGTCTTCATGCAAGTAAGGAGGACCCTGAGTGCTTCCCTTGCCCCAGCACTGCTTTGTGGGACCAGTCTCCCAACTCGAGTGTATACACCCCAAAGCAGAGAGTACTAATGTGTAAAAGGGAGCACTCTCTCCCCTCCTCGCTATAGTTAGTGGAACTATGGAAGTGAAAGGGGCATGTTACCCCAGCCACCAAGTACCTGGGTATACTGGAGCAATAACCCCTATATATTAACCTCAGCCTGGCACCCAGAGAGCATATTCTCTCCACTCATCCCCCACCAGGATGTAAATTCCAGAAGGGCAGGTATTCAGTTATGTTCTGTTCACTTTGTGTGTGTGTGTGAGATGGAGTCTCGCTCTGTCACCCAGGCTTAAGTACAGTTGCGAGATCTCGGCTCACTGCAACCTCCACCTCCAGGATTCAAGCAGTTCTTCTGCCTCAGCCTCCCAAGTAGCTGGGATTATAGGTGTGCATCACCATGCCCGGCTAATTTTTTGTATTTTTAGTAGAGACCATGCTGGCCAGGCTGGTCTCAAACTCCTGACCTTGTGATCTGCCCACCTCGGCCTCCCAAAGTGCTAGGATTATAGGCGTGAGCCACCGTGCCCAGCTGTTCTGTTCACTTAGAGCAGTGACTGGCATAGTATGTGTTTGATAAACGTTTGGTATTGATACCTCCTGTGTAGGTGACATCCCATATACCCATCCTCGCCTTCTGGCTGACAGTCCCTGAGGATGAACACTTCTCCTTCCTCTCTGCTCTGCCTCATCAAGCTCTGGGGCTCTTTAGAAGCCTCCATTCTGGTCAAACAAAGGGCTGCACTTTGACTTAATCGTAAAATTCAAGTCCTGGCCTCATTCTGACTACAATACTACCTTCCCCCTCCCTCATCATGGCCCAGCCACACTGGCTGACTCTTTATAAATCATTGAATTAAAATATACATGCAGAAAAGCCCATAAAGCTCATTTACGTTTTATAAATTAGGCATACCTATGTAACCAGCACTTAGGTCAAGAAACATACTTTGGGAGGCCGAGGCAGGTGGATCATAAGGTCAGAAGTTCAAGACCAGCCTGGCCAAAATAGTGAAACCCCATCTCTAGTAAAAATGCAAAAATTAGCTGGGCATGGTGGCGTGCACCTGTAATCTTAGGTACTTGGGAGGCTGAGGCAGGAGGATTGTTTGAACCTGGGAGGCAGAGGTTGCAGTGAGCCAAGATCGCACCACTGCACTCCAGCTTGGGCAACAGAGCGAGACTTAGTCTCAAAAGAAAAATAGAAAAAAAAAAGAAAACCCAGATTAGCAAAGCCCATGCCAGACAATTCTGGAGTGTCTATGGGGGATTGCTTACAGTTTTTCTCAACATCTTACCAGATTCACAGCGACTATTACCGATAAACATAAGCACCACAGAATAAACTCACAGCAGCCAAACCGTGAACTTGAAAATATATCAAGGGAAAGTGGACGGAAGGAAGGATTCAATGTTAAAAAAATGTGGAGCTGCAAATTTTGATCCTGAAATATTAGACTAAATGGAAACTATCCACAAATAAAACCCAGAATGACAGGATGTATTCATTCAACAAATATTTATTGAAGTGCCTTCAGGGCCCCAGGCACTGTTTTTGTTGTTTTGTTTTTATTTTTGTTTTGAGATAGGGTCTTGCTCTGTTGCCTCAGGCTGGAGTGCAGTGGGGTGACCATGGCTGTCTGCAGCCTGGACCTCCTGGACTCAAGCGATCCTCCTTCCCAGGCACTGTTATAGGCAATGGGGATACAGCAGGGAATAAAAGATTTAAAAATTCCTGCCCTCATGGAGCCTATATTCCAGCTGGGAGAGACAGAAAATAAACAGCACAATTAATTTGTATATTATATGTATGTAGGGAAGTGATAAGTATGCATTAACTTTAAATACAGGAGCTGGGTTCAGTGGCTAATGCCTGTAATCCCAACATTTTGGGAGGCTGAGGTGGGCAGATCACTTGAGGCCAGGAGTCTGAGGCCAGCCTGGCAACTGGGCAACATGGCAAAACATCGTCTCTACCAAAAATACAAAAATCAGCTGGGCGTGGTCGTGCACACCTGTAATCCCAACTACTTGGAAAGCTGAGGTGGAGGATTGCTGGAAGCTGGGAGGCGAAGGCTGCAGTGAGCTGAGATCGCACCACTGCACTCCAGCCTGGGTGACTGAGCAAGACCCTGTCTCAAAAATAGAAATAAATAAATAAGGTAAGGGCGTGTCAGGGAGTTGGGGGAGGGTAGAACCTGAATTTAAATAGGGTAGTCAGCAAAAGTGATTACTTGAGGAAAAAAATAGGAAGGAAGCCTGAGATGAGCTATAGAGATGCAAGAGCATTTCTGAAAGAACGAACAATTGGTACCAAGTCCCCAGAGCAAGAATGTGCCCGAGATGGTCAAGGAGCAGCCTGAGGCTAAGGAGCTATCTGAGGGAAGCTGTTACTGCTTGAAGCTGACACGGATGAGAGAACCAATCTATGGATTGAATCATCATTGTAAAAATTAACCAGAAAATGATCACAGTGACAATAACTTCAGAGAAATGAAAATGGCCAAAATTGTTTTGGGTTAACTGCACCACTATATGACATTTATCAAAGAATTAAATTGGCTCAGGAGAATTCACTCCAGGGCAAAGTTGCTCAATAAAAATTCACCTGAGTTGATCTAATTCCATTTTTTTTTTTTGAGACGGAGTTTCACTCCTGTTACCTAGGCTGGAGTGCAATGGCGCGATCTCGGCTCACTGCAACCTCCTTCTCCTGGGTTCAGGCAATTCTCCTGCCTCAGCCTCCTGAGTAGCTGGGATTACAGGCACGCGCCACCATCCTCAGCTAATTTTTGTGTTTTTAGTAGAGACGGGGTTTCACCATGTTGACCAGGATGGTCTCGGTCTCTCGACCTCGTGATCCACCCGCCTCGGCCTCCCAAAGTGCTGGGATTACAGGTGTGAGCCACCGCGCCCGGCCCCATCTTTTTTTTTTTGAGATGGAGTCTAGCTGTTGCCCAGGTTGGAGTACAGTAGCGTGATCTTGGCTCACAGCAACCTTCACCTCCCAGCTTCAAGCGATTCTTGTGCCTCAGATGCCAGAGTAGCTGGGACTACAGTTGTGCACCACCATGCCCGGCTAATTTTTTGTATTTATTTATTTACTTATTTATTTCTGAGATGGAGTCTCGCCCAGGCTAGAGTGCAATGTTGCGATCTTCACTCACTGCAACCTCCACCTCCTGGGTTCAAGTGATTCTCCTGCCTCATCCTCCCCAGTAGTTGAGATTATAGGCACGCACCACCAAGCCCAGCCAATTTTTTGTATCTTTAGTAGAGACGGGGTTTCACTATGTTGGCCAGGCTGGTCTCGAACTCCTGACTTCAAGTGATCCACCCGCCTTGCCCTCCCAAAAAGCTGGGATTACAAGCAAGAGCCACCGCGCCCGGCCTGATTTCAATTTTAAATGTTAATATTTGTAAGCAGAGCCAATACTTTAGAGGTCAATCGCATG